ATGGCCAATGCTCCAATACAGTAGCTGTTAGTCTGTCTATACATACTTTTACTGAATCCATTCAACGAGTTCTTAGTTCTAGTTGTATCATACTTGTGTCGTATCTGCTTCATTGTCTTGCAATTGATTTTCGGTTTATTAACATCTATTCTGAGCTATTTGCTCGAAATGTGTATAAAACTCTGTATCTTGGTCGTTTCGAGAGGGCACGGTATCAATACTGCCTCGGTTTTGAGTTAGAGAGGCTCCTGACTTAGCCGACTCGTCTGGTTTTTCGATACCAACAACGTCACTGTGACCGGGCACCAGATTATCACTAAGTGGTTCTGACCAGCCAGTGTGTTTAAATACTTGCTGCAGTTGCTAAAACTATATATAATACTTCAGTTAATACTTTGTTAGGTCTATTTAAATAAGTGATGAGCCTAATGCTGTTGTGGAAATCCCATTTTTTGCTTAACAAAAACTAAAACTATGAACTATGAAAATGAATTTCATCGAACACAAATTGTGCTCAATCAAAGACAATTTTTATTTGAAAAGCTAATATTGCCCTCAACGGTAATTACTTGTAGTACCTCAAAGCGAAACGATATGTGCTTATGTAGCACCCATTGGTAATAAATCCGCAAATCACATCATAACCAAGTGTATATCTGGGAAAAGTATCTAAAATGTACAATGGCTTGATAAATGTTTGAGAAAAAACAGTAAATTCGATCGTCGTTTAGTTGACGAATAAATAAGGTATTTTTCAATGTAAATTATTAAAATAGTTATCGGCGATGTCATTCAAACAGCCTCTTTCCAATGCTGCTGTCTCGCAATATTCTATCGCATGTAAGAAAAAGTTTAACTGTGCGTTGTTAGCAGTCAATTAAATTTGTAAAAATTCGATCTAATTATAGTATTTATTTCCACGCTTCCATAATTTATAATTTATTAAAAAAAAACAACATGACAATGTGGTTAAACTAAGCAATTAAACATAAATTATTTTTATGTAAATTTTTTTTTTTTTATTTACAATTATATATTGCTCATAATTAGTAGTTATATATTGCTCACAATTGTTGTTATTGTGATTTCATATATATAATATGTTATTAACTTTTTTAGGCTGAAAATTTCGGACTCAGCAAACTCAAACCTCCAAATCCCAGGTTTGTGTAAGCATGTTCGACCTTTTTAAATATTTTATATATGTATATACTTTTAAAAAATAATATTTTACCCTACAAGAATAAATAATGTATTAATAATATACAAATACAAGCTTTGTAACGCCTCCTCCTCCTTTGTGTTGTGCGCCTTGAGTTTTTTCCAACAAATGAAGGGACCCTCTGTTTATACTAAGCGACCTCCGAACGGCCGATGGTTTTTTATGAGGAGCTCTTATTTCAAGTGAGAATTACACTCGACGGGGTTGACATTCATTGCTTATTTAATTTAAGTTTCTATAAATACGGTTTTAAATTTATTAAGTAACGATCTTTTTATTTTCAAAAGTGTCCACTTAGATTAATCAGTTTTCAATATCAACGTAATTTCAGAGTGGCAAAAAATTACTTGTATTTATTGAACTAAAATTATATTGTTTTCGTTTCTAAATATTATGTACAGTTAATTTTATTTTATTTATTTTTTTTTAATCTTTTTTTTTTGAAATATTTGCATTGATAATTACACGTGCGCTTGCTTACATTTGAAATTCTTTCAATGGCACATTTCAATAAGAACGTGTATATAAGCAGTACATATGTGTATTTACTTACGTGTATGTAAGCGTTGCATGTAAATTGTACTTTTTACTCGTGCTCGTACCCATCTTCGAGCTAATATTAAATGTCTACTATTAAAATGCGCTAAATGTTAATGAAAATTCGCTTACATAAAATCTATAAAATTTATTACTATTTATCTTAGTAATTATGTAGAAAATTGTAGTGAAAGTAGAAAATAATTATTTACAAATAACTTTTACAATAACGACTGCATACAATAACGTTTCGTTTTAAAAAATTATAATAGTCTCAAAAAAAATTTTTAATCATTACAAATCTCAATTTATGCCACTTCTTATGTAAACCAATTGTTTGTGCAATTTTATGCGATTTGCCAATGCTCGAGCAAAATTTGTCTTCGCCCAAAATTTTGATCATTATTTATATCCCCCGTTAAATTTTTGCTTAAAATCTTGTCAATTTGTGTTGTATTTTTCGGTTTAGTATAATAAATTTTGCACTAAATAATTTAGCAAATATAGAAATGCACAAACATACATACATATATACAGTGCCAAATTAATTTCAATGAATTTTATTACCGCCGAAAGAAGAATTGATAGCTTCCCTTTATCTCAAGTGTTTTAACGTTGTACGTCTAAGATATTACATTTAAAGGATTCTTCAAATACTAATTATTATTTAAATTCATCACTCAAATTTTAATTAGTATCTTATCACTATATCATGAGTATCTGGTAAAAATGAGACTGTAAAATCAATTTAGAGAATTCATTTGTAAATATTGCCTATATTTTGGCGCATTTCTATACTTACAGGCCTATTCTGTTGAGGTAACAAAATTTACCTAGGTATTAAAATTTACCATTCAGTAAATATTGTTATCATTTCGTATTCTGAGCTCACTGTTACCCTGTAAATTTTGTTACCAGCGAAATAGGAGGTAACAAAAATATCTACTGTTTGATTTTGTGTTGTAAATATGAGAAAAAATAAAAAAAACAAAATGGGTAGGCATATTTTAGGCCTGGAATTCATTGAAGATTAAGAAAAAAGTGCAACAAGCCGTATTTTAAGAAGTTTTCGAGGCTAAAAATAGCCCTTTAATTTGTAAGATCGCGTTTTCATTCAGTTTTTTTTTTTGTTGTCCAGGCATATTTTCCATAATTAGGTTCAAATATTTATGATTTACTAAGCAAATTAATAAAACTTTTTATTTTTTTGTGCAACGTCTTCCATTTCGATGTGAATATTTTTCTTTTTACTTTATCAACTGGCAAATGTAATTTGATATGGACGAAAAAAGCAGTGCTGCCAAATTTTTTTCAAACATTGTAACCAATACCCGAATACCAAATCCAATTTCGGGTGTTAAAGAAAAGTAACAAAATTTACTTTACCAGTAACAGTGAGAATAGGCCTGTTAATAGATTGAAATTTTATCCCGTTTTAAAAAATGCTTCCAAACACTTTTTCTAACAACTCGCATAATGACGTAAGAGTTTAGATAATATATATATATTTTATATTAATGCATATATATATATATAATTGGCGCTTTGTAACCGCTGAAGCGTTTTTTCGGCCGAGCTCCTCCTCCAGTTTGTGCTTTTGCATCGTGATGTTTTTCCAACAAACAGCTAATAATTTTTAGGAGGAGCCTTTATTTCATGTCCGAAATACACTCGGAAGGGTGGACATTCCCTGCCGAGGGGCGACCGCAATTAGAAAATTTAACTTAATTTTTTATTTAAAAACCCGAGCCTAGATAATACATAGTTCCAATGTTACTTTATTTCTTTTTTTTTCAATTTTAGTGTTTTACATTTAATTTAATTTATTTATTTTTTTTTTTCATTTTTTATTCGCTTTGTGAAATTTTATTTAATTAAAAATTTTTATAATTTTATTTAACATCATATTAGATTATTTTATTAGATATTTTGATTTTTTTTTTTATTTTAATTTCTATTTATTTATTTTAATTTCTATTTCGGTTTTATTAAATTTACTTAATTTCATTTTTGTTTTTATCATTAAATTTTAATTTATTTGATTTTATTTTCCTTTACATTATCTTTTATTTAATTTTTTCTATTTTACTTTATTTAATTTTATTTGTTTTAGTTAATTTTATTTTCTTTTATATTATTTGCTTATTATTTATTATTATTATTTTCTTTATTGTATATTATTTCGATATATTTTATTTATATTAGTTTGATTTATTTATGTATTTTATATTACCCTTTTATTACATTTTTATTTCATTTACTTTTATGATATTGCTTTTCATTTTATTTGCTTCTGTTTAATTTTAGTTTAATTTAATTTCTATTTCATTTTGATTAAATTTTACTTCGTTTCATTATTTTATTTTTATAATTTTATTTTATTTGATTTGATTTTATTTTCTTCTTTATTATTTCTTATTTCATATTTTCTATTTTACTTTATTTAATCTGATTTTTTTTAGTTTATTTTATTTTATTTTCCTTTATATTATTTATGTATTGTTTTAGATTTTATTTTTTAGATATATTTTATTTTATAGTATTTTGTTCGATAATATATTATATTTTAATTTGATTTATTTATGTATTTTTTTTATTTTATTATATTTTTTATTTTCTTAACTTTTATGATATTGTGTTTTTTTATTTTTTCAATTTTATTTAAGTTTAATTTAATTTCTTTGTTTGTGTTTTCTTCATTTTACATTATATAACTTAATTTTATTTAATATTTTTCATTTCATTCAGCTTTTTTCATGTTATTTTTCATTATAAATATATTTTTTTTCTTTTTCTTTTATATTATTACTTTTTTTTTTTTTTTTTTGAAATATATTTATACATAAATTATTTTATTGCATTTCATAATATATTTTGCTCATATTATTTTTTGATTTTATTTAACTTTATTTTATTTTGTTTTACTTTATTTAATTGCCTTATATTGTTTTTAAGCATTTTGTTCGCTAAAACTTTTATGTGCATTCTTATATTTCTTTTTAGTGCGCCATTTGTTTTCAAGGAACATATTCCGAAATATGTACTAAATTACTAAACTATTGATTGACAGACACAGGCGCAATATGAAGAACCCACATGTGCATGTAAATATGTCATTAATTCATTTTCTTAAAGAATGTTTGTACCTTTGTATATATGTATATTTGCATTTCCACACGTACATGTGTACATATCTACATAGATTATTGCTTCATACTAAAGAATTGGAGAAAATAATTACCAAACAAATGCGCCACCAGCCCCAATACGATCCAATTGTTCGGTCAGCAAGTCTTTGAGGTTTTCTTCGCTGATGGTCTCTTTCGCCTTTTCATTACAGTCTGGCTTAACTTTTGCTGTCATTGTTGTTTACTAGTGTATTTGTATTTATATATTTCTATAAAATTTTTTTTGCTTTTGTTTTGGTCTTTTGCTTCACGAGATAACGGTTGATTCGCAAACTAGAGTTGTACGGTAGGAATATCTTTAAGTTACTAACAAATTTTTTTAAGGTAAAAATTAGAATCAAAAAATTTTTTTGCACTTCAATTTTTATTTCAATATAAATATTTAGTTTGATAAATTAGTTTTTTTGTCTAAACACAGAGTTTATAAATTTTTTGACAAAACAATTTTAATTAGTATTAATTTTCTCACTTTTTTATTGTTTATCAATTCAGGTTCAGCTTAGTTGTTGTTGTTGTTGTATTGTAAGAAAATACACTTCTTCATTGCACTTTCACTTTTCACGCATCTAACGAGCGGCCGCACTCTTCAGCTATTATATTTTTCTTCTTTTCTTTCTCTGCGCTTACATTAGTGTTGTTGTAATTTTTCATTGGCGCCAAATGCGGTCAACTGGTTGTTTTCGCCTTCGCACCCGCTTGCGCCACGCTGCTGCGTTCGAATACACAGCTACTATATTTATCAACAAATCCGTACAACACCAACATACAACAATAAAAATTCATTCAAAATATCTAGACGAGAAGCCTCCACCAGAAGTCGTGTCGTTGCCGGCGCGGCTCGGCTTGGGTAGATGCGTCAAAAAAAATTTAAAAATAATCTGCTGGAACGCGTAGAGGTTTACTTTTCCCAATTTTCTCTGCAATCGTCGGTTAGAACGACGTTGATATCAACACCTCGAATGGCAGCTGGCTGCTGGCTCACTGCACAGCAACAACTCTTCTGCTGTCTTTCGCTTTTCTTTGCTGTCGCCGCGACGTTTGCTCATTCAAAAGCACGCGATTTTCATGCGTTTTTTGTATGCACCTTTTCAAAATCGATTTAGAACAAATACAAAAACAATAAAAAAGCAGACAAGAAATGCAGAAAAAATAAAGAAAAATTCACGCGACCGCAGCCTGCAGTAGTGGTACGCCTGGGTGGGAGAAATTTTCTGTAATCGCGGTCCGTTTGCCTACACTGGGTCTCAAATCTAATCGAGTAGCGGGTTACAACTGTTTCTATACACAAAATAATTATATTCTTATTCTTGTTATTTGATTTCTATTTCAAATGCAATTTTATTAATTTATTTTGTAATTCAGATTTTTTGTTTCTATTTCTTTATTTACGATCAGACTGTTCACGTCGAGTGCGTTACACCGACTAAAATGAGCGGCTGCTGATCATGAATTGTTATAGCGGAGCGTTCGAGCATTTGTGCGCAGCTGTTCCGATCTGACTGAGTTGTCGGCAGGCCGGTTGCCACAGCGCCGTCGCTGAGTTTGCTGCTGCGCTGTGGCGGAGAATTTTGCTGCACGAGACTAACAGCCGACCAGAAAGCGCGCATTCATATAGGAGGAGTAAATATACGAGTATGTACACCAGCAGAACCAAAATATATATATATTTTTAACACTTAAACACATTTGGGACACGTAAGGGTTCTATCTCTCGTTAACATCACAGGAAGGTGAGTTTTAGCGATTCCGGTTGTTTCATCGCTGCTTAGCGCGAGCTCGCTATAATATTCTCCTAATTAAGAGGTGAAGGCCACAAGTTTTTCCACAACAAGCCGAAACTTCGAACCTTAAGCGTTTGATCCCATCCGTACTACTGTTTCATAAATGTCTTTATATAGTGCCCCGAAAGAAGTTATTCCTTTAGCAGGAAGATTTAAAGAGCTTTTACCATCAACTTTCAAGAAATAAACGGAGAACAATAATTTCTATTGTTGCCAACACTCCTGATGTTTTTTAAAAACCACACTTCTAGTCATGTGCAATTGTAAGATTAGAAAGGATCCTCGTACTGAAAATCCAATGGCGAAGCCAGAGCCCGCGACCTACACCTATTAACACCATGAATGAAAGCATGTAATTTCTATCCAATTATTCTTAGCACCATTGTAGCGACCCTGATTTATTAGTAAGATAGATAGGCTTCCAGAACTGAATGTATTCCACTAGGCATGCATAGTATTTCCAAATATTTAATTTACGAGTACAGGGCACGTGATCCTACCTTCTGCGGATTAGAAGTTTAAGAATTTGTCCGCGATAAGGCAGTAGGCGGACTAAAACCCGGATTTTTATTCGGCCAAGGACTGTCACTTCCGCAACATTCCCCCCAAAGTACTTTGTGGACAATTGTTGCGATTACAGCTACAACAACACCTGATTCTACAATTATAAAAAGATTGTGGTTGTTTATGACGGTTGAAAATGTTGAAAATCTACAATTTTTGCTGAGCAGCTGACGAAGTCGAGTTGATCATTAAGAATTGAAAGGTTTTAGAGATTAAAGCAATAAACATTTTTGTTAGAAATTGGTTTGAAGTCAAATGGAGATCGAACTCATTTCCAATTTTCAACGTTTATTCTCAATTGGCGGCCGCAATAGACGAGAGGTTAACACTGCGTACTAATATTTGGTAGAACAGCGTTCGAATCATGTTTCGACCAACAGTTAAAAACTATTTCTTATTGCGATCGCTCCTAGACAGGGAATGTCAAGCCCTCCGTTTTTATTTCTGACATGAAATAAAAGCTACTCATGAAATTCCATCGGCCGTTCAGAGGCGGCTTACTATAAACTGAAGACTCTCCATTTCTTGGAAAAGCTTTAACACGCAAAATCAGTTGTCGGATGAGGATCTCGGCTGAGAAACGCATCGGCAGTTGCTAAGCGCTAAACTATACTATGCCTAGATTGGAGAACCCATCTATTCAAGCAACTTTTCATTACCTTAGGAAAAAATGTTAAGCAATACGACAAAGAAAGCTTCAATAACACTCAGTTTGAAAACATATTCGGGAAAAATAGTTTGACGTCAAATTGCTGGTTAAGTCGAGAACTAAAGCATCTCAAAGATTTGAAAATATTTTACTCTCGCATGTTGGTTACCAGCTATTGAATTCCAATTGTCCATTGGGTAGCTTATAGTCGCTGCCTTCACGCGTTGCGGTGTGACATTTGTGATGCGCGCCAACGTCCACTGAAGCGTTGACGGTGACGTCGAAAGCGGCAGATGCTGGCAGAAACAATAGAAATTATAAAAAGAGCAACAACAAACTGACGCTCACGCATCTGCAGGAAAATAGACGTACAAACGTCATATAAGCAAACACACAAATGTATATGTATATATGGGTATATAGGTATGTATGTGTGTACAAATGTATGTGCTGTGCAAAATAAACTAAAAGTAATGTTTTGAATATGAATTGAGTTTGATTTTTATATTCTGTCACCATCCGTCTTGTTAATGTGCGACAGCAAACATATATATATATATATATGTATATTCAAAATGAGCCAAGAAGTGAATATTCTTGCCGTTTATCAACACTTGAAATGTTGCCAGACAACCCACCAACAATAAGCCAAGTCACTTACTTAGCCGGCTAACCGCCCTCGAGAAGAGTACTTTCGTTTGTTCAGACACTTGTGCGATCACTCACTGCATTGACGTTGACGTCGCAGTCGCAGTACATCTGTCCGCTTCTTACATACATATGTACATACATGAGATCATTAATATTTTCTTTAGTTTCGAGTTTATTTTTGAATTTAATGCATTTCGCAAGGAAGCCGCCAAAGGTGCCAGATTATTTTGTTTATTGCTGGTTCTTCATTTTTTATTCTTACTTCAATTTCATACTGGTATTTTTGAAATGCTCAACAAATAATTTGACAAGGCACACTGAAATCTTATATATAATATAATTTAAAAATCTTATGTCCGTTTGGAAAGATCCAATAATCTCCAAATGTTACCGACTGATTGACTTAAGATTTTGTCAGATTGTTTTGATGGGAAGGACTTACATGAAAACAAGTTTCGGGATGTGGGTCCGGGACTGACCTATGTGAAGATATCTTATTTATAGTTCGATTTACTTGAAATTCGGTACTTGAATTAACAGCAGGGACTGACCTATTTGAGTAGCTTATTTATGGCTGGATTCACTTGGAATTCGCTACAAAGTCTACTCATTACCTAGATCAACAGGAAGACTCTTATTTTATGCGGACGCTGTACGAAATAACAATTCGGATAGTTATTACGTGTTCTTTATTTGTGTGGTCTTCAAATAAGCAGACCTACTCCGGTGCGAAAAATTGCAAATCGTGTAAATTTATCACCAAGCCACCGAACGCGATTTTCACAAGAAAAATTGTTCAGCGCTGAAAAAATGCTTGAAAATTCTATGAAAGATGCGGCGACTCACAGAAGGTTTCAAGACCAAAGTACATATGCTGGTGTAGTAACCAAGGAGATAATATGGTAATCGATGTCCAGAGCATGCTTAGTGTAGGGTGGGAAAACATCGCCGGCCTGCTAAATGGCAATGAAAGCGCTAAACCTGAAGATGGTGAGCTGGAAACCCAATGCGATGATAACGAAAAAGTCGTTCCATTATCCGAATATGATGAGGTCCGAATAACGGTTGCTCGCTTTAAGAACAATAAAGCGCAGAATTGATAAGAAGCTGGGAAGGACCTCTCTAAGCCGTTCGGTACCAAACGAAATTGAACGAATGACGCACTATTACTGACTCGGTCATTATCTCTTAAGCGGTGCCCACGCCGAGAAGAAGAGTTCTTGAAATAAATAAATAATATTATAGAAGGATATTTTTTAGATTTTATAATAATGCATATATATATATATATATATATATATAATTGGCGCTTTTGTAACCGCTGAAGCGATTTTCCGCCGAGCTCCTGCTCCAATTTGTGGTTTTGCGTCTTGATGTTTTTCCAATAAATGGAGAGACCTCCAGTTCATACTAAACCGCTTCCGAAAGACTGATGGGTTTTTATATGGAGCTTTATTTCATGTCAGAAATACACTCGGAAGGGTTGACACTCCCTGCCGAGGGGCGACCGCAATTAGAAGATTTTGCTTCATTTTTTATTTAAATTAATTTTCTATAACTTTTGGATGTTGGTCACACGGGGATTTGAACCCGAGCCTTCCGAATGGCAGTACGCAATGCAGACCACTCGGCTACTGCGGCCGCAAATTTTATTTCTATTTATTTATTATCTGATTTTATTTTTATAAATTAAGAAGCGACAGAATATTTGTTGATTTAAAAATACAATAAAAATTTTCTTTCTTTGTTAAAAATTATTTACATGCATATAAATAATATTTTATTTATTCTTGTATAAATATGTACATATGTATGAACAAAAATATGTATGTATATTTAATTTGTTAAGGTCAGTGACCTGATAAAAATCAGCATATCAATGTATGTGCATAATTATACAATATGTGAAAATATGTACTATATACAGTTGTACATAAATATTTACATGTATATAAGTACATACATATGTACGCGTGTAAGTATGCATGCCAAATGCAATGTATCTACACGCTTAAAAAGATTTGAATAAGCTCGCCATATTGCGCCTTCACTCCATATTAATACATACATATATGTGTGTTATAAATACATACATACATGCTTATGCGTTCAGCAAGAAAACGATTTGCACCCTACTTTCTGACACTCTTTAACTTATCAATCGATGTGTTTGTAATTATGAATACCATTTTTGTTTTGTTTCTATTGTAATCTCTGTTACAATTTAATAATATTATATTTTATATTCTTGCTATTCGGAGCATAAACGGAGCAGAGTGTGCAAAACAGATGTGCGCTGAGTAAAAGAGCCAAACTCATACGTTAACTGCCGGTTTCGCTGTCAGCGTTGACGCATACATCGCTGTCACATGCACTGCTACACTGTCACAGTCGGCTTCGCGGTCTGCTGCGCTGAAATGTAATTCCAACTGCATTTCCCTTGTTTGCGCGTAAGTAGACTTTGTATGTATGTGTGTATGTATGTATTTAAACTTAATTGCTTGCTGCTGTCAGCCGGCAACTTCATCATGAGCGAAATTACAAAATACAAGAAAACTAAACAAATAAATTACAATAAAAGAATGCAACCAACCACAAGTGATGATTTTCTTTCGCCTTTCAGGCCCAACGCAGTCTGGATTTTCATTTTAAGGTTCTCTAATCTTTTTCCAATCAATCTTAAGGTTTCACTTTTCAAATGGGTCAATCGAAAAATGTTTTTTTATGTAAATTAATTTATGTTTGTACTGGAAATTGTGTAAGTGATTACGGAGGAGTGCATTTTTTTTAGAGAAAACTTTAATAATAATATATTAATAATGTTTTAAAATGAAATTAACAAAATTTTTCTTTGATGGTCGGCAAGCCTTTTTATATCTAAGCATAAATTTTTGTTTTAATAACTTCCTTCATCAAACAGGCAAATTCAATATGAATTTCGGCCAGCTGTTGGAAACTCCATATAACGCAGGCTTGGTTGCTTCTTTGATAATGAACTCGTTTACAGGCTTATTCTGTCGAGGTAACAAAATTTACCTAGGTATTAAAATGTACCATTCAGTAAATTTTGTTATCATTTCGTATTCTGAGCCCACTGTTCCCTGTAAATTTTGTTACCAGCGAAATAGGAGGTAACCAAAATATCTGCTGTTTGATTTTGTGTTGTAAGTTTGAGTAAAAATAAAAAACCAAAATGGGTAGGCATATTTTAGGCCTGGAATTCATTGAAGATGAAGAAAAAAGTGCAAAAAGTCGTATTTTAAGAAGTTTTCGAGACTAAAAAATAGCCCTTTAACTTGTAATATAACGTTTTCATTCAGCTATTTTTGTTGTCCAGGCATATTTTCCATAATTAGGTTCAAATATTTATTATTTAATAAACAAATTAACAAAACTTTTTAACTTTTTTGTGCAACGTCTTCCATTTCGATGTGAATTGTTTTTCTTTTTACTTTATCAACTGGCAAATGTAATTTGACATGGACGAAAAAAGCAGTGCTGCCAAATTTTTTTCAAACATTGTAACCAAATCGCCAGAATATCAAATTCAATTTCGAGTGTTAAAAAAAAGTAACAAAATTTACTTTACCGGTAACAGTGAGAATAGGCTTGTTAGGGTCACTTTGAAGCGAATTGGCACGTTTTTCTTGGAGAAAAAAAAATATAATTTTTTCGTTTTATGAAGAGTATGATTCTTAAGAACTAGATTCTTATTGGATTTTTTTGCTTTTCATTCCTTCTTTTCAGTCATTGATCGCTCTCCACCTGATCCTTCCAAAGGAGTGGTGGTCTTCCTCTTTCTCTGCTTCCTTATGCGAATACTGCATCGAATACTTTTAAAGCTGGAGTATTCATATCCATCCGGACACATGACCTAGCTAGCGTAACCGCTACTTCTTGATTCGCTCAACTACGTCCATATCGTCGGAAATCTCTTACAGCTCATCTTTCCATCGGCTGTGGTATTCTCCGTTTCGAACGTGCAAAGTACCACGAATTGTACGCTACTGCTCTGTAAAGCAGAACAGAAATGCTGAAGGTGTAGGACTTGTAGAGCTTGGAAAGCGAAAACTGTTTGTTTGATGACAGAAGATATTTCATTTTTCCCTCGTTCACTATCGGACCCATTCCCTTCGCACCTTTATCAAATCTAGAGAGTGTAGAACTCACAGCGCGGTTATTGAGGCCAATGCTGTACACTCTTACACTCTCTATTTAGCTCAGAAGCCCGTTTTATTTTTCCCAGAAATAAATTGAAGTGGTCACACAATATGGAATCACCTTGTCTGAAGCCTCGTTTGGTATCAAACGGCTCGAAGAGGCTGCCTAAAGTGACTAGCCAGAAGCTCCGAAAGCTTGGCTCTGAGGTCCATATGCATCCATCCTACAATCCGAACCTCGCTCCAAGTGATTACAATCTGTTCTTGTTTACGGCGAATGATTTGCGTGATGAAAAATTAACTTCAAGAGATGTGTGTGGATATCGATTATCCCAATTTTTTGATGATTGGGGCAAGTGATTCTATGAGAGAGGCGTAATGACATTATCTTTAAATAAGCAAACAATTATCGAGAAAAATGGTGGCTGACATAAACAAAACAATTTAACGATGGTAAATCAAGTATTTGCTAGACCTATTCCATTACATTTATATACAAGTGGCGATTTGTAACCGTTGAAGCCATTCTTGGCTCCTTCTCTAATTTCTGATGTGCGTTTTGAAGGTTTTCCAACAATTTTTCGGAGCCGCTTCTGAAGGTTTGAAGGATTTTCATAAAAGCATTTATTTATTCTTTAGATATTCAGAGAGCGTCGTAAGTACTTAAGCCATACGAAATTAGTCAAATTTCGATTGGCAATAAAATTCTTCAACACTTTGCCCCCAAATACACCTAAATGCTTAAGTGTGACCATCGGAGAATTTACGTTAATGAAGACATTTTAATAAACAAACATTTAAAATTAATTTTTTTTTTTCATTACAAAATAGTGCTTGTAATATGTACAGCGATTACGCGCCAAAATACAATACGCAATAACAGCTACTTAACCTAATTTCATTGTCAAATGTTACGTATTTATTCACTTGTATTAAACTTAATCAATGGTTGTTCTTCAATTTGAAGTAGTTGCATTGAAGACTTCAAAAGCATATAATACATACATGTATATAGATACATTAATGTTTTCAACAAATACATTTCGTTCAAAAATTTTAATAAGATCTTGATTGAAAATTTTTAGAGGCCTCCGTTGATTATACTCTTTGTACTAATATTAATTTTATTTTATTTATATTGATTTAATAAATAAATAAATAAAAATATAAAAATTTTTTAGATTTTATCAGAGCATATCGAGGAAGAAAAATCGATATAGCTTTTTACAGGTCTATTCTGTCGAGGTAACAAAATCACTTTGGTATTAAAATTAACCATTCAGTAAATTTTGTTACTATTTCGTATTCTGAGTTCACTGTCACTCTGTATATTTTGTTACCAGCGAAATAGGAGGTAACAAAAAAATCTGCTGTTTAATTTTGCGTTGTTAGTTTTAGAGAAAATAAAAACCAAAATGAGTAGGTATATTTTAGGCCTGGAATTCATTGAAGATGATGAAAAATGTGTAAAATGGCGTATGCCAAAAAGTTTGCGAGAAAAAAGTGGCCCTTTTAATTTGGAAGATCGCGTTTTCATTCAGCTTTTTTTTGTCGTTTAGGCATCTTTTCCATAATTAGGTTCAAATATTTATTATTTAATAAACAAATAAATAAAACTTATTTATTTTGTTGTTCACCGTCTTCCATTTCGATGTGAATATTCTTCTTTTTTACGTTATCAACTGGCAAATGTAATTTGACAAGGACGAAAAAAGCAGTGCTGCCAAATTTTTTTTAAACATTGTAACCAGTTCGCCAGAATACCAAATTTAATTTCGGGTGTTAAAAAAAAAGTAACAAAATTTACTTTACCGGTAACAGTGAGAATAGGCCTGTTAATATTAAAATATTCCTGTAGCTTTAGTGATCCCAAATATAAAAACCAAGCAATTTTTAGTTTAATTGCAACCAGTTGTGAATAAATATATATGTAATAAAGGCGTGGGGTTTTCAATTAGGCAATACGTTTTCCGGTGTAGGTATTTTTACAGCTGTTCCTTGATTCACTTTCAGTCTAATTTTCCATTTCATAATGGACAGATTAACTCCGGAACAGTCGTTAATTCGAGCAACCAGGAATCGGTTTCGCGCGTCCTGTGTACAGTGTGCACCGTAGACGCTATTGTCGCTATGGAGTATTGAAGAAGATCCGAATGACGCAGATGAATAAGGCAGAGACGATTGACGCCTTAGAAGAGAGTATTCGGTACGTTATACGGCCGAGTTGCTACAAAAAGTGAGCCCCTCGTCTGGAATTTGTGGTCACTTGTCAGCAAACATTTAAAAAAGAATAATGGCGTACCGTTTCAGCTAGTTAAAAAATATGTTAATATACATAGTTACATAGTTACACTCTACTCGATAGTTTAGTATCTGCGATTCTAAGAGTCGTATATTTCAAGATCTTTTCACGCAAGTTGAATAAATAAATAGACTAAACATCAACAAGTCTAAGTACCATGTTCTGCTCAAGTATATACTCATTTTTAAGAAGCTTCTTATGATCATAGATTGTTGAATGTTATAATTTTGATTATTGCTTGTCGTTGAAGTTCATTATCATTTAAAATTGTTAATTCAAAAGAATAATGATTATTTTTTATATAGAATTTAGAAAAAATAAAATAATAATGGTTAACAGTTAGAGGAAACCTAAAAAGAAAAAGTTCACTTTTTGTAAGAGCATGCGCGAATGTAACTCTACGTCCTTCAAAGCCCACGTCGCGTTACGTCACGTTTACTATGACCGCAACGCAACCCTGTTTCAGCCAGTGAGCCACGAAAATGAGCAAAGCAACTGCGTAATATTTTTGTTTATTGTGAACAAAAAGAACAAAACGAATAAGTAAAACAGCTGATAGATAACATTTACGCCAAGAACAAAGATCACACAAAACTCGCTGCTGGTATAAAAACGCTAACCAATGTTATAATGAAGTTTATTCAAGAACCAAATATAAAGCAAAACAGATCGTTGAAGAGTATATTGAACAATAGAGCTGCATTAATACTGTAGAATACAGCAATAACAAAGGTGAACAACAAATAAAAAGTAAATGTGTTTCTGGTGATTGGAAGTTGGAAGAATGAAATGCATTTATTAACACTATGTATAAAACTATATGTATAATTAAGCAAAATAGCTTGTTCTATTTTTCAAATTAATTTATGGGAATTTGAAATGTGTGTGAATTTATTTGCGCAAATACCTTGTGATATTGACTTATCATTTAATGGGAATTAGTAGTACGTATATATTGAGAAAGTGATTGATGAATAACTTATGTTGTCTAAGTACACAAAGCTCTAAAGTACATACATATGTAATTATTTATTACTTTTCTAGTATGTGTAAATTTATTGAATTGTTTCCAGACTGAAAAGGTTTGGAGAGAATTGAATTTTCTAAAACAAATACCTACATCTAATATATATTTGAACTTAAGATGCGTTGGAAAATATTATCAATCTCTCTCTTTTATGCTATCACGCAGTTAAATTTACTTTGATAAGCTTAAACAATTAAACATTGAACATTGTTGTTTCTTTGAGCAGGTAGGTTTATAATATAGTGATATAATATGCGAATGAATTGTGTAAACTATTAAAAACTTATCGCGAACATATGTGTACAAATGCACTGATATAAATAAAATATGTCTTAGTTTTGCAGAAAGGAAAGCTCTTACTTCGCTCTTTGGTACAAAGCATCATCATGACGAAAGCTTTAAACAGCATTCTTACCATTTTATTAATCACACTGCTATCTTTCACATATTGCACCGGCTATTCAGCGCTTGAAGACAAACGCATCATTGAAGAATACAAACGTTACTTACGTACAACGAATCATGCACTAGTTGCTCGAAAATTAGTGCATCAGGCTGATTGGGCAGCCGTGGGCAGTATATCGACTAATGAAAAAATCACCGATTTTCCAATGGTTAACATAATATCAGTGGATGACAGCGGCGAGAATGGTGAATCAACAGGTCACATACGTTTTCTGCTTACTGATTTGGATTTTACCGGCCCCGATTGGCAACACAATAACAAAGTAACATTCCTCTTTACCGATGATCAAAATTTGAATTGTAAGAAACGTGGAGAAGATCCAATGGAACCAACATGTTCGCGTACCATACTAAGTGGCAAGGTTAAACAGGTAAAAAAATTAAAATTATATATTTTAAAAGCAAATAGTATGTTTAGTAAATGTCTTATAATTTACAGTTGGACAAAAATGCAGCGGAGTACAATGATCTGGTAGCTACATTTGCAAAACGTCATCCGGCAGCGAAGAAATGGATTAAAGGTTGGATAATGTGTCTCAATATAAATTTAAAGTTTTCTATAAATTTATTTTATATTTATAGCACACAGCTTCTACTTATGCGAGTTGGAAATTGAGAATATTTTCGTACTGGACTTTTATGGTGGCCCACACGATATTCCTGTAGCCGATTACTACAAAGCAAAACTGAAATTGTGAAAAAACTTCAAGGACTGAAACTATGAATATACATATGTATTTGGTGCTGAAAAAATCTTATTAATATAAAGATCCATTGTGATTGTACGTATACTACAAATTCTTATCGATGAAAATTTGTATGAATATTTTTATAAATTGTTGGAGAATATGATATGCTGGGTGTTCTTAAAGTCGGTATTTAACTTTTATTATACAATTGTAACCTAGATATATCTATACGTATTTTTTATCTTTAAAGCCTTACAACAAAACCTTTTAATAAAGTACAGAAAAATATGTATTTGAAATATTATTTACATCTTTTGAAAGTTATGCGTAGCGACTAAAAAATATATTTTTTCAAATTAAGGAACCGATTACGTTGTAATTATTGTTTTCTTCCTAAGCCCTTTAACAATTTTCATTACTAATTTAAGAAAAAAATAGTAAAATTATCTATTTCTATTAAAAAATTTTTTTTCTAATAAAAAGTTTCAAGTTAGCATATAAATTAATATGTATAAATATAATTCATTGTTTATTGTTTATATATAAAAGTGTTGTGTGTCACTAACGCCATGTCAGTCACTTTGTCGCAACGGATGATGTTGACATGCCGTTGAGTTAAGCAGTGATTTCGTTATTTTGCTATAATTGATTGCGGTATGTCGAAATGCCAAGGACAGCCATTGTGCATTTCAGTTGATTATATTGTAGAAAAAGTAGCCAACGACGCAGTTTGTAAATAAATAAAGCAGAATTAGCAAGCCGATAAAAAAATTTAATAACTAAAGATCTTTTCAGGCCACAGAAATCAATTCAATATTCGGAGGCTCGTAAAAAGAATCATAGACTTGCAAATATTTCTACTCAAGTGAAGAACAAAAAATCTTATTTTGAATATTTTTGCGCAAATTAGGTTTTGTAAAACATGGATACCAAATGATAAACAATTCTCTCACTTAAGAAAAAAAAACTCACCGGAAAATATCACCACGGCACAGCTTAAGTGATGCCAAAGATTGTTGGAATATTTACCGGACAAGATTTAAGGTATGCATTGAATGATATTTATGTGTGCTCAAAATCATTTACATATATTTTACATGCTTACTTCAAAAAGAGCGTAAGAAAGTTATAATGTATGAAAGTCAACATCTGGGCGCGAAATCGAAATAAGTGTTTTTACAAGCCATGGAGTCTTTGCTTAAATTTGTATCAAATGAAACTGTAAATATTACTTTTATTATACATTTTTCTAGTAAAGCGTTGATCTATAAACATGCTTACATATAGTATATACATATATTATTAAGAAAAGTTTTTACAATTACAATTTATATACACACTTGTTTTCAGAATTAAGATATATTGTAACTCAGATCAAAACTTCAGCGAGGCAATCATAGGATGATAATGATGTGGAGTCTGTGCTCAGCATCGTCGAGACTAAGTATAACATTACAAATTCAACCAATCTAGCAATGCAAGCTTATAATAACAAAAGAAAAAGTTCCTGCTGTAGAAAGGACGAATGAGCATAGTCCCAACCGCTAGAAAATAAAAGGAAGTATTTTCTGAATTTAAAATGAATAAATTGGGTCGATCACGTACAGTGATGCACAAAGGTATACAATGCATGTATTATAAAAGAATATTACTTAATTTTTGTCTTACTTCCATTAAAGACTAAATTCTAAAAAAAGTGAGCCTAAAGTTCCTGATATTAATTCTTTAAGTATTCAGTAAGCTATTTTCGTTAAGAGAGACAATTTGATTAGCGAACAAAGGAAAATACAAAAAAAATTTAATTTTTTTCATTTTTACGTAAAATTAATTTTCGCTACTTTTTATGCGGTTAATTACTAATAATCGCTGAATTAACCACAAACAGAGAACTGATCATCAAGTTCAATGCCGCTCTTGACTTTTTAGTAAGCAAATTTCACGGAATTACATAGATTTATATGAGTTCAGAATCTGAAAATGCGGAAAACAATAAAATCTAGAGCTATGATTATCAGAAATGATAATGAAATACATATGTATTTTTGTATGTATATTTCGCCGATGCTTATTCATATTATTATCAAGTCTTAGAACTGCGAAATATTTACATATGCATTAGATGCTATAATCGCGCAAGGGGTACTCACGCCAATTACGGTGAAGAAGATGCAGTCCCGCGCAATACTGACATAACTCACGTCTTCATATTGTAGCAGGTTAAACTCCTACATATCCAGACTTGATCCCGACATACCTAATGTATGTCCCGGCTGTAAAGAATCCCCGCACGAAACTAGCCATCTCTTTGTAAGCCCCGTCTCCCTATGGTCAGAAACCGCCGAAACAGCTCGTTTCCTGGACCACGCATTAGATGACATCGATGATTTGACTGATCTAGTTTGTTCTTAACGGGGTTGGCAAACCTCTACAACAACAACAGGAATATGCAGATAATTATGTAAAAACAGTTTTGAATTTTCAAAATATCATTACTATGACGTATGTATGTAACGCATATTTTAGGTGGAAGATTTGGTTTTTTTTTTGTGACAAGTGTAAAATAGCAAGAGGGAATCTAAAGGAGGGCATATGTGCCCAAATTCCATTATAATAGATCACTAAAAATGCGAGTGATTCAAGTAAAAAGGTGATCTTTGAAGAAAAACTTGTAATTTGCAGTCAAATGGGTTTGAAAAATTGCCTTTTCAGCATGGGATACTTACTTACTCCGATCGTTTGCATATGGAGTTCAATTTCTGACTCTGTAATTGCATTCTTTCTTCTGTCAGTTATCAGCTGTTACTTTTAGCTTGCTTTAGAAAAAAAGTGCGCGAAATTTGGTTTACATTTGTTTGTTTGGCGTCAATTTTAATAAGAAGCCCACAAAGGAGCATTTTCGTCATATTTTACTTTATTGTTTCCGTAAAGGAAAAAACGCGGAGCAGCTTTCTAAAAAGTTACGAGATATGTATGGTGATGAAGCCTTAAAAAGAAGACAGTGTCAAAATTGGTTTCGCAAAGTCCGTTCTGGAGATTTTTCCCTTAAAGATGAGCCACGTTCAGGTCGGCCAAATGAAGTTGATGGTGACCAAATCAAAGCATTAATCGAATTGGATCGTCATGTAACTGAGCGTGAGATATAAAGGTCTTGGACTGGTGAAAAAGCTTGATATTTGGGTACCACATGCATTGAAAGAAATTCATTTAACACACCGAATCAACCCTTGTGATATGCACCTTAAACGCAACGAATTCGATCCGTTTTTAAAACGAATCATAACTGGAGATGAAAAATGGATTGTTTACAACAACGTTAGTCGAAAACGATCATGGTCCAAGCATGGTGAACCAGCTCAAACCACTTCAAAGGCTGATATCCACCAAAAGAAGGTTATGCTGTCTGTTTGGTGGGATTGGAAGGGTGTCGTATATTTTGAGCTGCTTCCAAGGAACCAAACGATTAATTCGGATGTTTACTGTCAACAATTGGACAAATTGAATACAGCCATCAAGGAGAAGCGACCAGAATTGGTCAATCGTAAAGGTGTCATATTCCACCAGGACAACGCTAGACCGCACACATCTTTGGTCACTCGCCAAAAACTGAGTGAGCTTGGCTGGGAACTTTTGATGCATCCACCATATAGCCCTGACCTTGCACCATCAGACTACCATTTATTTCGATCTTTGCAGAACTCCTTAAATGGTAAAACTTTCGGCAATGATGAGGCTATAAAATCGCACTTGGTTCAGTTTTTTGCAGATAAAGGCCAGAAGTTCTATGAGCGTGGAATACTAAATTTGCCAGGAAGATGGCAAAAGGTTATCGAACAAAATGGCAATTATATATTTGATTAAAGTTCATTCTAAGTTTTATTAAAAATGCATTTACTTTCTTTTAAACAATCCGCAATTACTTTTTGGGCAACCCAATATGTATATAAATTTAACATTTTCGGTTACATTTCACAAAAACATCGCGCTCTAAATGGTGTTGACTGTGACGGCTCTGAAGTCTAAGGAGAAACGTCCTAATCTGTGATTATGCATGAAGATGCCTAATTGAAGAGGATTTATCTCCCACATGAGTTGCACTCAAAAAACAACGACGAAGAGGTGGTGTGTGTCGATCCTCTTTTCGCGGTTTTTTTTTCAAGACTTGGCGGATGGTGAATATCTGGGCAGTACTAGATTTGCCAGTCTTTCACACAACACGCTCAATAAGACCTCATAGGAGATATTGACGACGCTTTTTATGGATTAGTCAGAGCGCATTTAGGCTTCAATCGATTATGAGAGATGTTTTCGTTCGTCTGTAATGTGCATAGGAGCTGATGCATGCATTGTATTATTTGATATAATAAAAATGATCAATTTTGTCTCTACGATCAACAATTATCAAAGTTCCTTCAGCCACTTTTTCACTTTGGTAACAATTTTCCACTTATCGGTGGAACTTTATATCGACTACGAAACCGATTTGGGAGGATTCTCTCCCCCAAGAATGGTTTCTGAATCCGTCCCTGAAAATAGGAAATATGTAATACGTATTACTACATTTAGATGTAATATATAATATTAGTATGTAAGTATTTTATGCATACTTATTAAATTATTTAATAACTATTAAATAAAAAACTTATCAGTGGATTTGATAACCTCTTAATTCACCTCTTTGTATGTATTGAGTAAATAAACAGTCTGTTAAAAAGATGACGGATCGAAATAGAAATTAAAGAAGATAGTAGACTTCTAAACTATACTAAGAGCTAAGCCCGATTGAAGTTTGAAAGTGTAAAGTTGGTTGATGAGTTTTACATTCGATATTAAGTTACCTGAGAAGCAGGGAAGAGAAGCCAATTATATTCAACTAGAGATCTATTTTTGGTAGGTTTCTATCTTTCATGTGAGTATTTATAGACTTAAAATATTTAATACTGCTCCATTAATACCCCACCCGCAAGACTTATACGGCTGTGTTAACTGTTAAGCAACACCAAACGCTTCCTCAGGATCGGGAAGGACGTCCCCGCACCGTTCGTCACCAAATAAGATCTTTTGTCAAGGTGATTCTTTATCGTGTGACTCCATTAATCTATTGCTGGAGAAAAAAATACGAGCTGCAGAGCTAAATAGAAAAAATAAAATTTTCTATAAGAGCGTACAGGGTGCTGGCGTACGCCTATAATATAATATTAACCATCATTGGTCTCAATAACCGCGTTCTGTTTACTCCATACTGGGTAAGAAGGCGAAGCGTATGGCTCTGTCATAGTATTCGGGATCCATGTCACTTTTGACAGCTATAACTTCTAACAATAATCTTTATCGTGGAACCAGCATTAATACCAACAGCCTTGCCAACAGATGCTACTTTGGACTGAGTAGACCATTGAAGGGCAAAGTCCTCTGTCGACGAACAAATACCCAACTCTACATGTCGCGGAGGTATGGACGATGTCAACATTTGACGAACCTGACATTATTAGTTTTCGAGAGAAAGGTTTTGCGTATGATTTTGCGTCCCCTGCGATTTGGTAATGGCGCTTTGCAACCGCTGAAGCGATTTTCCGGCCGAGCTTCTCTTCAGATTGCTCGTTTTACGTCTTGATTTTTTTCAAGCAAATGGAAGGGCCTATAGTTTATACTAAGCCGCCTCCGAACGGCTGATGGTTTTTTATGTGAAGCCTTTATTTCATGTCCGAAAAATACACTCGGAGGGGTGGACATTACCTGCCGAGGGGCGACCGCAATTAAAAAATTCAATATAATTTTTTTTTATTTAAATTAATTTTTCATAAATTTTTGATGTTGGCGGCACCGGGATATGCGCCTGAGTCTTCCGAATGCCAATATGCTAACCACTAGTCTACCGCGCAGTTCAGCGAATAAAATAAGAGCGGCTACGCTGGTCTGGAAGCAGAGCAAGAGACCTCCATTCCGTTGGACTCACGAAGTGGAGAAGAACCTAGCTGTACTTCGAGGTTAAAGTGATTCTGCAGTGAAGAAGTGGAGCTGATTTTTTGCATTGACTGTTCCTGTAAAATAACAAATAAAATATTCTTATTAAAAAATTCCAAGAAATTCCCCCCGAGTTCTCACGCAAATATACAAATGTCAACACATATGAATAGAGCGGATGCACTTAAATACATATGCATATAAATATGTATGTATGTTTCGCGTGGTTTTTCTATATAAACCTGTTAGTTCTTGACAATGCACCATTTCAAGTGCATCGCTCATTCTTATCGTCATGTCGAAGTCAATTGCAGTTTTAGCAAGTCTATTCGTAGCGCTAATCTCATTGGATTCCTGTGCAGCATACTCTGCACACGGACGTCAACCGCCAAATCTAAGCGATGCCGTGCTGACTCGTCGCTTGGTACACCAAGCCAATTGGGCTTCAGTCGGCAGTATTTCGACAAGTGATAAAATTCCCGATTATCCCATGGTTAACATACTCGCTGTGGATGATAGTGCTTTGAATGGTTCCTCAACTGGCTATATACATTTTTTCTTGTTGAATCTAGACTTCACGGGTCGTGATACACAGCAAAAGAACAAAGTGACGTTCTTCTTTACCGAGGAACAAAGCAATTCGTGTAGTAAACGTGGTATTAATCCCATGGAGCCCGCCTGTCCGCGAGCAATGATTAGTGGCAGCGTGCAGAAGGTAAGAGTGTATGGAGTGGAATAAGATAGAGATTATATTTGATTTTTTTTCTTCTTATCTGCACTTTCGTAGCTGGATAAATCAAGCCCAGATTACAACGATCACCTGCAAGCCTTCATTAATCGCCACAAAAACGCTGAAAAATGGGTGGCTCACGGTAAGTGTATTGCAAGTTTTATGAAGGTTTCGATCTACTAAATTAATTTTAATACTAACTAATTTTTATTTTTTTTCATCCTTTCACTTTTTTCGTTTTTCAGGTCATCATTTCGAGTTGTGTGAGTTGGAAATTGAAAATATTTTCATTGTCGCCTATCAAGGTGGCCCACGGGTCATTCCGGCCGAGGAATATTACAATGCTCATCTGGAAAATACTATTTAAAAAGTTTATTATGTAGTTTTAGAATAAAACACTCGAAAAATATTCGATTAGAATTTTTTATTGATCATAACTCCAAGAGAAGAACGTTCATACTTAAAAATAAATAGATTCGGTCATTTATGATGTGTCTTGTGTGTCAGATAACTACGGATTCTCCGCCGTACTTATCGGGTAAGAGTTACCGACACGTCATCTTATATAGTAGTCCCAGTTGGAGGTCCCTCTTATTGTGATCTAAAATATTGTGATCTAAAGTAGTCGTGTAGGGCGTCAATGCCTTTCGCGAAGTTCAAGGGAATCTTAATATCCAATTCGTCTTGTCGATTTCTTTCCGGTAATGGTGAAGAAGATACTCCGCAAAGTGGTAGGCCGATTGTCCGAAATATTTATAAAATAATGGAAATGTTCGAGTTTGACTGTCATGGGAGCACGGCTTCGATTGTCCAGTAGCTAAACATTGCACAAAAAATAGGACTGTCATAGTCGAAGGGCGGCCCAAGCTATCTCAAAGCCAGTATTTACGGCCAGGAAGGTTTTGTTGTGTGCGTTTGGTGGAATTGACAAGGAATCATCTCATATGAGCTGCTTCCCTGGGGCCGAACTCTAAATTCGAAACTGTATAACAGAGGGAAATTGTGTTTTATCAAAACAACTTTACAGCAAACACATCTATAGTGACTCGTCAGAATCTCCGGCAGCTTGGCTGGAAGAGAAATCGATTGTTCCTATTGGGCTTCCATAAGAGAGGCATAATGACATTACCATTAATTCCAATGGTAAAAAGTTAACTATCAAAATGGTTCATATTCGACATACATAAATAGAATAATTCTAACTGTGATAAGTTAAGCCTACAATTTAATGCAACTGCAATGAGTTAATTTTGGTACCTAATAAATGACAAATTTGAGGCTTGTAAGATTGATGGCATCTAGATGCCGATGCTCGAGATCTGCCTCTAATATTGCCGCAAGTACGTCTGCGCCCCGAGAAGAATTGTCAGAATTATTCGATTTTTCATATTTCTTCGATTTTTAAACAGTTGGATGGTATTAGATCAGCTCCAAATGAACTCGATATTTATTCCGTGGTAAATCGAAGTTAAGGGGGGAACCTGGTTAAGAGGGTCAAAAAAAGATCGATTTTTTGAAATTTATCTCATTCGATTAGAAAAATATTCAGAAATATTTCCACAAAATTTCAGAGTCACATTCCCAATTGTTCCGCAGAAATGACCTCTGAGAGACAATGCGCTCAGGAGACTGATAAGCGGGTACGAGAGCTTTGAACGCGATTTTCTGTTTTGTGCACACGATTAAAAAAGTTGTAGTTGTTGCATTTTCATAAGTGATACCTTTTTTTACATCTAATAGTGTAGGCTTCTATGTGAACCTAAAAATCATAATAAAAGAGTTTTTTTTATTAACTTTTTTCAATAAATTATCTTAAAATTTCTTCAGAAAAACGCAAAATTTTTTATAAACAGTCATAAAATAAATAATTTTATACATTTCTTCGTATATCTTAGGTTCACATAGAAGAGCAACTCCCACCTTAAACTATCTTTTGCTAACCTCAAATTTCTTTTTTGGGATTAACATCCTGAGTTTTTAAGTGATTTGAAAATATCGTAGATAAGGCGCTACGATTTCTCATTTTCCATCTTAGGGCAACCTTTTTAGTATAAAAATAAAAAGTGTTTGTTCAGCAGAGAAATACGTTTTTGACTTTCTTATTCGAATTACACGTTCAGGGACGACTTTGAACTTAGATTTTGAATGCTATTTTTTGAGTTTTCAAATGAAAGCAATGAACTTGAGAGCTATCTTTTTTGGAAAGGCCATACTATACATTGGCCAGAAAAGTAGACAGCGCATTTCCAAGACTAATAAAATTTTTTTCCTTTCAAAAAAAAACAAAGTTTTTCGATTTTGAAGTGTATTTTGGATACTTAACATTAGAGGGAACATCTAAGTCAAAGCAATTCTTCGGCCAAAACGAAAGGACCACAGCGACTTAAAGAAAATGACGAGACGTCACCCAAAAATATTAAATCCAAAGTCCTTCCGTACTTATTATGGAGCATTTTTATTTGAGAAAGCCCCAGATTAGAGAGCTAAATTAAGAAATCATGAACATTATCTCGAGTTGAGCTAAGTACTAGTAAAATGTCATTAAACTTCCATGATACACAGGATAAATGGAAGTCGCCTATCACAACAACATTGTCAGATGTTTTAGTAATGGAAAATAATTACTTTATCCTTGACGACTGGAGAGAGTAAGTAGAAAAGTCAAAATTTGGTCGGGTATAACTGGAAATAATATAAATATTTTTATTAATTAAACGTATTTTAACACAATACAAAGAAATTCCATCGCTTCCGATTTCGCAAAAAGAATTTCATTCGCAGCAAGGTCAGTTTGAACACCAATTAGTACTCCACCACCAATTCTTTTTCAACGGTCATCTCCAAAAAATATGTTTTTTTTTTTAAATAAACTCAGTTTGATATTGTTGTGAATTACAATACAACCAATAGACGATTTTTAGAACTGAAGCAAGTGTTGATTCAAATCAATACACATTTCGGCTCTAATATCGCCTGGCTTATCACGTATAGCATATACGGAGGAACATCAAGACGCGTACCACAAACTCGAGGAGAGGCTCGGCCGAAAATCATAATTATATTTAATATCACTATGCTTTCTACACTAAGAAAGTGCTGCGTGTAAAGTGCGTTGTTGTAAAAATGTATTACTTTCCTCATATTCTCACCTTTCTTAAGATGCAACAATATGTAGTCTACGAAACTAGTTTGACCAGGTCATTGACTGGTGCAATTATTCATGTAAAATCACCAAATACCAAATACTTAAAGAAGTGGAATTTGAAAATTTTAGTTCTTAGCCAAACACAAAAGTGGAAAGTGGTGGGAAAAGTGGAGCTCAATTTTATCGGTTCTAAGTGATAATTGATTCCATGTTAAAAATGAAGACACCGATTTTAGTTTATTTGCTTTTATTAAGCGTCTTGCCTCGCGAGTTTTCCGCTGCAATTGTTGAGGATCATAAACATTTTCAACAGTTTAAGGTGAGAAATAATGTGAAAACTCTTAAATTATTTAAAATATATAAATAAAGTATTTGTGCACTCTCGCTGTTAAGCCAGCCATAAGGCATTCTTAAGATTTCGCTTAAAGACTGGCCCCGTGGTACACAAATTTATAATTTAGTTTAATTTTTGGTATGTCCTCTGACATTTTGTCTTTCAGTTAGTTTACAATAAACATTATGCAACGGATACTGAGGAGCGTAGACGAGAGAGTATTTTTCTGAAACATTCCGCCTTCATTGAAGAACACAATCAAAACTATACAAAAGGCTTAACGAGCTTTGAGTTGGGCATAAATGAGTATGCTGATTGGAGCGAAGAGGAGTTTATGAGTTTTATGAGCGGCAGTGATGAGATCCATGAGTAAGAGAGGATTGCATAAGTTCTCGAAATGAATTAACTAATAATTAGTCCTTACAGCATACGAAATGTTATGAAACAAGGCGCCACCTTCATACCTCCAGCCAATGTCAAGTTACCCGATGCAGTGGATTGGCGTGAATTGGGTGCAGTGACGGGCGTGAAGAAGCAAGGTAAATGCTAATTTGTAAAGTTCAAATAATATATTTTTTATTGCAGTTTCAAAATTACTCTCCACGTTCTTCTTTACGGCAGGTCGTTGCGGCTCTTGTTGGGCTTTCGCCGCAACTGGTGCTCTTGAAGGTCAACACTTTCGCAAAACCTCCAAGCTCATATCGCTCTCGGAGCAAAACCTCGTTGATTGCACTCTTACGTACGGTAATAAAGGCTGTAATGGTGGAATTAAAGAACGTGGCTTTCTCTATGTACGTGATAATGGCGGCATTAACTCGGAAGTTACCTATCCATATCGTGCTCAACAGGATGCCGAATGTCTATTCGATGCATCGGCAATTGCAGCGACGAGTAAGGGTTTTGTGAGAATCCAACCAGAAGATGAATACGCACTGCTGGCTGCTGTGGCGACAGTTGGTCCTATTGCTGTTAAAATGAACATGAAATGCTTACGAAAGCAATTCTATAGGCAAGGTGTATTCAATGATCAACTCTGTGAGGAGCGTAGACCAAATCATGCCCTGCTTTTGGTGGGTTACGGGCGAAATAATGTTACGAATGAAGATTATTGGATACTGAAGAACTCCTGGGGTGTCTCTTGGGGTATGGATGGCTATATAACCGTGCCAAGGAATGTTAACTTTGGTGGAATAGCATTGGGTCCGAGTTATCCGTTGGTTTGAATGTTGCATATTAGTAGCCATGAATTGTCTACATCTTTAAATTTGAATAAAAGCTAAATAAAAAATTTATATTGTAAAATAAAATATTAAAAATGCATTTAAAATTGCGTTCATTTGATGTTTTTACGGTTTCTTCATCTTCTGCTTTACTGGAGTACAAACCGCTTACGCCATTAGAAATAGTCAAGTTCAGAACAGCGCGACAGTCTTACTAATTCTCACCGTTCAGCTCCAAATGGAGATCACAAGTGCAACCGGATCATTTCCCATCTGATCATTCCAACGGAGTAGATGTCTTCAAATTCGTTTGATGGATTCTGCATCGACTATTTTTAAAGCAGGTATATTCTTATCAATATTGTGATATTGAAGAAACTTCTACAACGGCAGTTTGCATAGAAGTGGGGACCCCTTTTTCAGATTGGGCAGCGCACATTTATAGTTCCAATCTTCGGGCATACCTTTGCCCATATACCGCAAAGAAGCTGACTCATTCACAAGAGAACGTCAAATAACGAGAAGGGCCGTAATTGGCTCTGTTTGTCAATATTTCTGAGCAAGATAATAATAAATTAATAAAATAATAGTCTTCCAAATGTCATTCTTCTTTTGTGAAATAATCTAATAAATAATAAACGTAGAACAAATGGCAATCGGCACGCTCCCGTCCTTCTCTTTAAGGGGTTACAAAGGTCTTGAAGGCCAAAGAAAAGTTTATTTATTCTAATTTTTTTAAAAGGTACTAAATAAAGTATATAATTTATTTTGGTTACATTTGATGAAAATTTAAATGAAAAATAATATAAGTTAAGGCGTTGGCAGTGCCGTGAAGTAGACCCTCCACAAGAAAGTACTTTCGCGGTAGTCATGATAACTTTTTCAATCTTTATATTAAATCAAAAATTCAAAATTATTCTTAAAGTAGGTGAATTTTCCTTGTCCCTGAACAAAGAAAAATTTAAAAAATTAAAAACATCATTTTTTGCATAAAATTAGGCCACATATTGGCTTGTAAAATGAGTTGAAATCAAAGATAAAATAAATTATTCGTTCAGGGACTACAAAAACATGCTTAAAAGAAGTGTGAAAAATTTGAACTCGTTCGCTTCAATAGCCGTTGAGAAATTTTGGCTACCGATAAAGTGGTTTTAAGAAAAACGCGGTTAAAATTTTGTCATCGGTCAAGCCATGACAAAGACGGCGAGTTATTAAACTCTCTAATTTCTACAGCTTCGTCTCGATCGACTTTAAACTTGGAGAAAATATTCCTGACACTTTGTACTGTTATACAAAAAATTATCAAAAATAATGAATTTTTTGAAGTTTCAAGACCTATGTAAGCCCTAAATATACGTTCTCTTCAATCACCTTGCCCTGCTTGAACTTCTATTCCATCGTCATCGACTTGGTAATCGGCTGTAAAAGTGTTCCCTCCATAAATTCAGTACTCTTTGAGCATCAATCGCTAGATCACCTTTTAGGTTGCTACAACAAGAGATTGCTCCGGTCTTGAAACCTTCTGTAAGTCGCCACATTTTTTAGCAGAATTTTCGAGTATTATACCTGTTGTCCAACCTCTCAAACTCTTTACGCTCAAACTTTTCGGTCTACTTCGTTTTTGTCGGCATATGCGTCGCTTTTCTCTCTTCAACTCTCAGTATTTATCCCAAGGGTTTGGTGAATATTATTTTATTATCAGCGGCTATAGTTGAGTACTTAGTTCGTGAAGCCAATTAAACATTGTAGTATCTCATCAATCAATGCAATATTGGCTATTACAAGTAGAATTCTGTCCAGGCCAGAGAGATTCTCAAAAGTGCTTTTTCTTAAGATTTTGGTGTCCCGCTCAAAAGTACTGGATATCAATAAATAATTAGCTCTTCGTTCAGATTATTCATCAGCTTTCGTACGAAACGAAAGACTTATAAATAATTAAGTAAAATTATATTGAGGGTGCACCGTTCCTCGTTGAAGGTAACAATCGAAATTCACAAGAAAAGATGAAATGTAAATATATTGTTGCGAAAATGCGAGGCGAATGTCAGATGAAAGAGAGAAGCCGATAACTAGTACGTTCTAGAAACGATAAAACAAGAACCTTCCATAGCGAACAATTCGATGCTTCTACGCTTTCGTCTGCGAGCAGCCGACTGCTATATAAAGGCGACACTCAGCTGCAAGTCAAGTTAGTGA